ATAATATATATATAATATATATATATATATATATATATTCTTTCTGTTCTTCTTTATGTAATAGAGTATTGCACAAAGCACATTATATATATTTTTTATTATGCTGCACAAAATAATATATAAAAAGTTGCTTTTATGCAAAATTAATGCTTTATTAGCATTAAATGTTTTATATTTAATATATATGTAAATAACCATTTATTATTTCGTTATTATAATTATTTAATATTGTTGTTATTACTATAATTATTATTATGATCATTATTATTATTAATACTAATAATGGTGGCAGTAAAAGTAGAATTATAATTTCTTTTTTATACAAATGAATTCATTTTTGAAACCAAAATTTGGTATCATATGCAACAAATATTTTTGTGCAGTATCATATATTTTATGACTGTTTCTTTAAGACTGATCATTTTTATTCTGTGTTAATTAAGAAGAATATTTTGTACTTTGTTTATAAACTGCACATGCAGATTCAATTAAAAACCAAAAATGATATAGTTATGTTAAGATTTCAATGTTAAATACATAAATAACATATTTGTCATAATATTTTTATTCATAGTCTTTATTTTTATTCAGTTGTGAAATATAATTATGAATAATAGTGTATGTTACTTTAATTTCTATTTGACTTTAAATATAATTTTGTGCGTAATTATTAAAAATATTATTTAATGTCAAATAGTTTTTGTTTTTTTTATCAAATAACTTCTTTGCAATTTTGAAAAATAATTAATTACCATAACTTCTTCAATTTTTGTATGGTATTTTTTATTATATTTTATGAATTATAAATATAATTTTTTTAAAATACCAAACAAAATATAAAATAAAGATAAAATATAAAAACAATATAACTTTTAATTGAAAAGTTATATTCGAATAAAAAATTAAAAGGCATTATGGTTAAATTATCAAATAAAATAAAATTAATATTTATAATATATTTTTAATTAAAATAACTATTTTAATTTATGTGAATTTTTTTTTTATCTATTTTTTTCAATTTGATATTTATACCATCATGTCTTTTAATCATTTAAATCATTACTATTTAAAAATAATATATGAATTATTATCATAAAAAAATAATTTAAGAAAATTTCTATTTATGTAAAAAAATAAAAGCGTTCTATTGTTTATATAAAGTTTACATAATGTTAATGCAATAAATTAAAATTGCAACCAGTAAATAAAATTATATAATTACACAGTTGTATGTTTAAAAAATTTTGGAAATAGTTCCATTTTAAATATGGAATAATTTATCTTCTATACTAATACGAGTTCAATATTGTCAATAAACAGCTGTGTTTTATTAATAAATGTATATTTCTTTAAAAATTAAAAACTACGTTTTCCTTTACAAGTGGATGTCAAATTAAACTATTAAAAATTATTAAAAAGTTATTAAAAAAAATATACAATACAAATAATATAATTTTATATAAAGAATATTAAATATTTTTTTTTTTTAAACATCTTTCATTATATGTAATATTTTTTTTATTTTTGAAATGAAATAATTATATAATGATATGTGTGAATTTGAAATATAATTCAATTTTCTCAATTTATAGTTATTAATATGAATATTAATTTGTAATTCATATAAATATATTATATTTTTATATCTTTATCTTTACATCTTTATTAAAAAATTTTTCCAGTTATTTTAGAATTAGAAGTTAGATTTTTTTCAATAAATGATTAAAATCCCTTTTTTGGAAAGCGTAGATATATCTTTTTGCTTTGCTACATGAGGTATTCAACATAATTTATTAAAAGCTGCGTATTATTACAGAAGATTTAATTAATTTCTACTTCCAGCGAGACTGCAGCACACTGATTCAACACCGAATAGGAGGCATTATAACTAAATATTATTCGTCGTGCATTCATTAAGAGAATAATTCTAGAGTCGTCGCAAGACCATTTATTTAGAATAGCTGCAGATTAATCAATATTTATCTGCAGTTTAGATTAAGAAAAAAGAAAATTATTGGAGAATATAATTCTATGTACTGCCATTATCTGCCAAATGGTTGAAACCAAATATCTTTTTCTTAAACTATACTGTTTTTAAATTGAAATTAAAACTTATGGCATGAAAACATAAAAAAGACTTAGAAAGATCACTATGTATTTGACTTGATGTTTGTTGCAATCCAAAATTGCAACATTTCTCAAAACTTGAAAACAAAATCGTCTTTCAAATTTTAATTATAAATCTGAAATTGATTTCAATTATTATATTTGTAAAACATATATTTTCTGCATATATTCAGAGCTGGATAAATATTTTGTTTCTAATTTTATTAATTTATTTAATTTAAAATAATAAATTTTTTAGATAAATAATATTTTTTTTTATAATTATTTCTACTAATATTCTACTTTATATTAAATATTAATAATAGAATAAACATAACAATAATAAAAGTAAAAAAGTAAAAAATAAATATTATTTATATAAATATATTTATATGTTAAATAATTTAGTTAATTAAAAAAAATAATTATGCTTTTAAGAATTAAATGATAATTATGAAATTATATAGATAGATAAAAAAATTAATGAAATATGTACAAACTAAAAACAAATTAAATTAAAAAAATAGTTACAATTTTTTTACAATTATCATAATTATTACAATTATCTTTAGTTTTAAGATATTAATAATAATTTTTATCCAGCTCTCAAATTAATTTAAAGATTTTTTACTATAAAATAAAATTTATTTTTGTTAATATATTTTAAAAGGACAAAAATTTTTCATAAATTTAACTATCTTCTTGATCTTATAAAAATTAATTTTAATAATTATATTTGTATAATTATATAATTCGCATAATTTCAGTATTAATCAAAGAAAAAATATTTTTTACATATAAAATTATATTTTTCAAATAAATAATATTAAACAAGAAACATATAAATTTATAAAATTTAATAATATTAATTAATTTTGTCGTAAATTATTGTATTATAATTTTATAACAAATTATATATTGGGACCAAAGTTTTAATTTCTACATTGAAAGAATTAAAGGAATTCAATATATAATTTAATACGAATGCTAAACAAATTTGCGACGATAAATGATTTTTATTATTCATATAGTACAGCTTCCAGAAATATTACAAAATTTATGAAATAAAATTGCAAATTTATGGCATTGCGTCGATTTAACGAATTCTATTATAATTATTGCAATTGTAACTGTAATTGTTTTTTTCGTTTGAAATCTCGCATATTTTGATAAATAGAAAGAAATAAAATCTAAAATATAAAAAATAATTATTGAATCGAATTGAAAATAATCTAAATTATTTATTATTTAATTATGATATATGTCTACAATAATTAATAGTAATATAATAATATATTAATATTTAATAATAATATATTAATATTTAATAAATCATTTTGAATATTTTTTTGACAGTATAAATTATTATTTTTATAATTATATTTTTTATTTTATATCTTATTTATTTACAAATTTTTTAATTAATATAATTATTTAATCAAATTATCTAAGATTAGATTACTTGTAACTAGTAATAACTAATCAAATCATTTGTTAAAAAGAAATTATAAATTTGTCTTATAAATGAAAGTAAAAAAATTTATATTTTTCACATATTTATATTCATATAAATTATAATTAATCATCAAGACAATCATGATTTGAAAAGAATATATTAAAAAATAAGCGAGGTTTCAATGAATTTAAAATAATGGAAAACACAAGCGGAGAAAAATATTTCTCAATAGATAATATTAAAGCATTAAAGTGTGCCTAATTTTTTGCAATGTATAAATTATCTTAATTTAATTGCGAATTGTTTTAGTTAAAAATTTAAATTTGTTCCTATAATAATTCAATATGTGGCAATTATTTGGAATATTTTATTTTTATCTTAACTATTTATTTAGTAATAGTTTTTAAATTAGTTTATTTTTTAAATTATTCACATTTTAAACATAATTAATTATTATATAAATCATTTAAAATATTTTTATGGTTTGTAATGTATCTTTTTTAAAAATTTTTAATTTTTACAATTTCTATTTCTCCCTTGAATATAATAAGACTTTAATCTGTAATATTAAGTTGTATAAATGTGTAGGTTTTAAAATATTCATGTTAAATTAATTTCAATATAAAAGCAATGTATAATTTCAGTAATACAAGCATTTGATTTTTAATTATATTAAATTTTACACAATAATAATATATTAAATGTTATAATATTAAGATCTTATCTGATAAGAAATATTCTCATTTAATGGTAATATTTGATCTATCAATTTCATAGAAAGAATTGTAATTCATAATTTGTATGTAATGAAACCGTAACATTTAAATGTTACTTTAAATAATTGGCTGATAGAAAGAAAAGACTGATAATAATGTAATAAAGAAAAAAATGAAATCAGTATTAAATGAGAAGTAAATAATTGTTTTTTGTGGCATTTAATCGCTTACAATATTTTTCTACTTGTAATTTAATTCATTAATCAATATATTATTAGTATTCTTTTTAAGACTTGATCACTTTAGCACATCTTGTTCATATAGCTTTTATCTATATAAATAAAATATATATTAAATAAGCATTATATTTGTATTCTCAATTTTAACCATTATTTCCATTAATTCATAATCATTAAAATAAAATTATATTTATCATAAACATATATTGATTAATTATATTTTATATTTTCAAAAAAATCTTATTTATATTTCATTTTTTCAAAAAAAAAAATACTATTTTAAGAGGAAATTTAAAAAATAAAAAGAAATTAATAACAATTCTATACGACCAAATTTACTTTTTTTTTTTTTATTTTGTTTTATATTCACTTATAAGATTAGTAGACTAACATTCAATAATCATATAGGATGCTCTCTTATAGCGTCTTACAACTATTTATTGAAAAAAAAAAAAATAAAAATAAATGAAATTTTCGCAGGGAAAATGGAGCAGGAATCCATTTAAACGATCTTTTATGTTATAATTTTTTTAACTATTGATTTAATCAATTAACACTCTTTTAAATTTCATTATTATATTTTTATTTTATAAAAGTTAGAAAGTTATTTAAATGTAAAATATTTTGAAAATTATTAAAATCTTTCCTCTTCTTTGATTGAAAGAATCGTTTAAACAATTTCCTTTACATTATTATGATAAAACACGTTTCATTAAAAATGTTTTTACTTTTTTAAACATTTAATTACAAAAGAACAAATTTCTACGTACGACCTATATACAATTTCAGGGGTCCAAAAGATCATCTATAGATCATTTTATTAAGAACCTCACAGAATATATTTACAAGAATCTCAACGACAGTAATTTCAATCAAATAAAGAAAATATCTTTGCGCGACATAAACTGTACAATAATTAATGATTGAAGTTAATTAAGACAATGAGTGCTCAGTTTCTATAAACTCTTAATTTTTTCGAGTTTTTACTATCATTAATTTCATTTGTAAGATACTAATAACTGAAAGATTTTTATGCTAATTTATTCGTTAGCAATATTAATAATTAATTGATACAAAATATGTTTCAATTTATGTAATTCATTTGTTTTCTATCTCCTCATATAAAAGAAATTTTATAAAGATATTTTTTCTTTTTAAATTATTTGTTAATATAATTGATAAAAAATTTAAGAATTATGATTTTTTGTCATTAACATAAAGAAAATTATTTTTATTTACAGTTACAGCAATTCAAGTATGGGCCCGATTAAAACATAATTTTTAAAGAGACATCTTGAATTTATTTTTACTAAACTAAATTTATAACAGATTGATCAAAATTAATTTTATTTTATATGATAATTATTTTTATCAAATAAATATAATGGAATAAATTAAAATTTATAATAGTCTTGAAAAAATGTTTTTCTTATTTTAATAAGATATATTTAAATCATACTTAATTTCAATGAGTTAATTTTATATAATAAGATTTTGTAAATTATATTTTGCGTAAAACTGATATAAAAAAAAAACCTAAAATTTTAAAAGGACCCTTAGATATCTCTACCAGCCTAATTTCATACAAGTCAGATTATTTGTATTGTTCATAATGTTGCCTAACCTATCAATATTATTATTCGGTATTTTTAATGGACATACCAATTTAAATACTATCTCATCGCAAATTTTTAAAACGAGCAAATGAACAGAAGAAACGAGAAAAAAAGAAAACATAAAGAAGCCTTTACTTTCATCTTTTCACCCTTAAGCTACATATTTACGAAAATTTGAAGTAAATGTTCATTATTATAAAAATAATTAATATTACAGAAATTCAAAATTTCAGTCCGTTGTTCTTGAAAAATAAATCATTTCTATTTTTGGAAGACATTATTGAATAATCTTTTAAAAAAATCTTGGGCAGTTTGAAAAAAGAATATATCATTAATTATCTATTAATAAAATTTATAATTTATAATAAAAATTTTTTCTTGGATTTAATATATTACACTAATAGCAATTATCAATATTAATATCAAATATATTACTTTATAACAATTCATTTTTTAAAAGAATATATAATTCTATTGTAAAAATTTATTAAATTGATATAAATATTTTATGTAAATTAAAAAAATAATATCTTGTAATTTTTTTCCAAAAATTTTTCACAAGATAAATATCTATAATAGAAAAAATTAATTTGAGACTAATATTGAGATTGTTTTTTATTGTATTCATAAGAATACATTCTGGAAGATATTTAAGAGCTGCAGGGTGAAAACGAAAGTAGTAAGGTAGCTCATGCACACACATTCATTCATCTTAGGCACATTTACATACTTGATATAAAAGCACATCACAATGATCGTATCGACGATCTTAAAGAGTCTTTCTTTATAGCAATCCTTCGATAGATACACATATACATACGATAATTTTTCGAAGGTGCAAAAAATTTAAATTATGATTATTCGAATGATCATTTGTATGTATTGAATGATCATTGTATTTCATAACAGTTCAACTATAAACTGAAATTTCAAAATTATAAAGAAATTTTTAGATATTTCTTCGAATAAACGAAGTTTTAACTTTTGTTAACATAACTTACTTTTCATTAATTTTATTATAATATATAATATTGGTTCAAGAAAGCGATTATAAATAATGAAAGAAAAATAT